CTGTACCAGCTACAGGACCGAATACAAAATCCTCTGTTTGGCATTCAAAGCCCTTCATGACCTATCCCCACCTACCTTTCCAGTCTTCTCAGACCTTAGTTCCTGAGGCCTCCTGACTGTTCCACAAACAAGACACCAGATGTCTTGGCTGTGGGCATTCCCCCTGGCTGTTCGCCACCCCTGAAATGCCTTGCGGGCAGGGACTATCTTTGGCTTCTTTTTGTAGTCCCATGGCTTAGCACAGGGCCTGATTCATAGTAAAGCCTTAATAATTGTTTACTGATTGACTTATCCTCAGAACAACCTAGAGAGATGCTGTTATTATCATCCCCATTCTTACAGATAGGGAAACTGAGGCAGACAGCAGTTAAGTGATTTTCCTAGGATCTCTCTCTCTCTCTCTCTCTCTCTCTCTCACACACACACACACACACACACACACACACACACACACACACACACACACACACACAGAGTTCTTCCTGAATCCAGACCCAACCTATTCACTGGGTTACCTAGCTGTTTATAATACCCATAAAGAGTAGACAGAAGGTAGTCTCACAGGAGAAAGTACTAACTGTTGGGGGATCAGAAAAACTTCCTGAAAATGGTGCTTTTGAGCTAAGTTTTGAAGGAAGTCAAAGATTCTTTATTTTTAAAATTTATGCTGAATTTAAGAATTCCCTCTCCCTCCTCCCCAAGGGGAAACATTTCTATAAACAAAGCAGAAGACAAAGTGGATTGTTTATAGGTGAAATCATAAATCTGCTGGCTTTAAAAAGCATATGATCATTTCAACATGTCCTTTCAAAGCTCTTTGGCTTCTCTATATAACTTTCCCAAGTCATTCTGTTTCCTTCTGGGCATTTTAAGAAATGCTTTTATGACTCTCTTTTCTTAGAAGGGCATTGTGGAGGGTAGGGCAAGACTATTTCTAATTGGGGGGGGGCTGACTCAGTGGAGGAATCCTGGGCCTGTAATCTGCAAGATCTGAGTTTAAATCCAGCCACAGACATGTGTGATCTTGGGCAAGTCACTGAATCACTGCTTGCCTCAATTTCTTCAACTGTGAAATAATAATAACACGTACCTCATAGAGTTGTTGTAAACATTGTCTAAAGTGGATTTTTTAAAAAACATAACTGACTCCATTTTTTTCTTATAGTCTATTTCTTTGCCGTTCAGCCTGATATTTTTTTGAAGAAGACTAGAAAGGGAGGAATGGACTAGGTTATGACAAACTTTGAAGCCAAACAGAGCATTTTGTATTTGTCCTTGCATGCAACAGGGAACCAGTAGAAATTTGTGTGTGTGTGTGTGTGTGTGTGTGTGTGTGTGTGTGACATGATCAGACCTGTATTTTAGGAAAATCCCTTTAGTGGCTGAATGGAGGATGGATTGGAAATGGATGACCAGCCCCCATTTTATCACAATCAGTTTTAATCAGCTAGTGATTTCATCAGGGTAGTGAAGGTTCATAACATTATACTTGTTTATCAATATATTTTTAGTTGATCAACTAATACATGTATATTCAGGAATAATAAAATAGGATAGGTTCTTTCTTATAAAAGAGCCCAAACTGTAAATTACAAATTCACAAATTCACTCTAAGTCCACTTGCCTAATCACAGGAAGCTAACTAGAAGACCACCCTTTCTTCGGGCAGACCAGGGGACCAAGCCCAGCATGATACGGGTGACTCAATGATATGGAAAGTCCCCCAGCCATTTCATTGTCCCTCTGTCCTTCATCATCCTCTTATTGGCCAACATGGGGTGATGGCTATGAGCATTTGGCCAATGTGTAAACTTGGTTGATGGCCTGCGGCCTGACTTTTTGTGGGCCTATTGGCCCATGTAGATATTTTGACATCTGTTTATCAATCCAACCTATGGGTCTGCTCTTCAGCTTGGTAGAATCTCCTGAAAGGCCTGTCGAGGTCTGCTCATTATCCTGTTTTGTCAACCAATGGGATTCTGTATTTTGTGTAGCCCCTCCTGGAGGACTGAGGGCAAGATCTAGCCATAAGAGAGACTGTATTTTAGTTTACTTCATCTGCATTGGGGTAGCAAGCACTATAAAACTAAGGCCCTGGAGGAAGGGGGCTTCTCAGATGGTGAGGAAGATCTGAGGTGGGCCAGGTCCCTTTAATAAATGGTTATTGGCTTAGAGCTCTGCCTCAGCAGTTTTTCTTACAAATCGGACATGCTGGGGCCCACAGATTCTAGTGGGGATAGAACTGAGGCTGGCAGACACACCACCATCCTCTGGCCACATAAGAATGGATACTTAGTCTCCTGTGATTTCTCAGTCACAATTACCTTTTTACGCTTTTCTTGAGTCCTGCGTTTGAAGTCAAACTTTCTGTTCAGTGCTGGTCTGTTTTTATCAGAAATGCTTAAAATCCATTATTTCACTGAACATCCATATTTTGTTCCCTAGGATTATACTTAATTCTGCAGGGTAGATTATTCTTGATTGTAATCCTAGATCCTTTGCCTTCCAGAATATCATATTCCAAACTCTCCATTCCTTTAGAGTAGTGGCTGCTAATCCTAGATGATCCTGACTGTGGCTTCATGGTACTTGAATTCTTTCTTTCTGGCTGCTGGCAGTATTTTCTCTTGACCTGGCTGGTCTGGATTTTGGCTATAATATTCGTGGGAGTTTTCATTTTGAGGTTTCCTTCAAGAGGTGATCCATAGATTCTTTCAACTTCTACTTAATCCTCTGCTTCTAAAGTATTTGGGCAGTTTTCCTTTAGAATTTCTCAAAATATGATGTCGGGCCCTTTTTTTGTTCATGGTGGTCTAGGTAGTCCAATGATTCTTAAATTCTCTCTCTTTGATCAATTTTTCTGGTTGTTTTTTTTCCCCACGAGATATTTCACCTCTTCTTCCACTGTTTCAGTCTTTTGATTTCCTTTCGATATTGCTCATAAGTCATTAGCTTCCACTTGGCCAATTTTTAAAAAGGAGTTATTTTCTTCAAAAATATTGTGAATTGTCTTTTCATAACTTTCTCACATAGCTCAGTTTTTTTCTCACTTTTTTCATCTACCCCCTTATCTAATTTTTGAAAAACCTTTTGTTTGCTTATTTTACCTATTTATTTAATTATTATTGGGCTTATGTCCCCCCTGCATTTTTTCCTCCCAGATGTCTAGTCATTGTCTTCTGGGTCTGGCTCTTGAGCTCCCCTGGCACCACAGAAGCTACTTGGGCTCAGGATCTTTTTTTTTGTTTTAAAATATACTCTTCTAATGGTCCTTCAAGGACAAAATTTAGCACATGATCTTTAAATAATTCCATGCTGCAAATATATTACTATAGTGTCCATATCATCAAGAATAACCACAAAACGTTTCTCCTGTTCTTATCTCAAGAGATCAAAACCCTCCCTCAAGCCTGTCTTTCAAAACTCCAAACCCCCTTTCCTTTCAAACCCCACTTGCTCAATCTTCCTCTCTAAAAATCTCTCCAGTGGACTGTGATGAAATCCCTTCAAAACAGAACCTTTCTTTTTCTCCTTTCATGTCCTGATCTGCTTCCTCTCCTTCATATCCCAGACAATTTATAATACCCATCTTCATTCCGCTGAATTTTTCCTTAACAGATTTCCCTCCTTCCTTTATTTATTTATTTTTTAAAATTTTATGCAGTTGGGGTTAAGTGACTTGCCCAGGGTCACACAGTTAGTGTCAAATGTTTGGTCTGAGACTAAATGTGAACTCAGGTCCTCCTGACTCCAGGTGCTCTATCCACTCTACCACCTAGCTGCCTCAAAAGATTTCCTTATTCATAATTTTCCATACAACCCTGGTTAATTGTAATAGTGTTCTTGCTTTTGGGGTTCTAAAGAGCTCCCAAAGGCATAGTCTTATCCAACTTCTAATCGTTTATAACACCACCCCAGGTGGGTCTTGGGACACCTGAGCAGGAGGGTTGGGGCTAGAAACCCCAAACAGAAGGGGGTGGTGTTAGGGTGGGTGGGAGGGGCATGGCTAGAGACACCTAAGCAGGAGAGACCCTAGCAGGAGGGCTCAGACTAGCGACGCCCCCCACCCCACCCGGCTTTTTCTTCTTCCGGTGGCTTCCCTTCCCCCTGCCCCCTGCGCAAACCCGAGGTAGGTCACTACTTGGCCCTAGCTTTTGAGGACCCCACCCCCGCGACACCCAGCTCCCGCCCCCCCATTTATAGGAGGGGGGGATATAATTTTTTTATCCCTCCAAACCGTATTATAGCCTAAAACAGCCTGGAACCCAGGACAAATGAGTCCCCTCGGCCCTTTTTTCTTTCATCTCCACACCCCCGGGACAGGAGCTCTCCCAAACTAGGCGAGCGCAGAAACGGCACCCCCCTTGACCAACATTTCCTTCCGGGCGCCCATGGAAGAGGGGAGGGGGAGGTGCGGCAGAAGCCACGAGGAGGAGCGGGGTACGGGCAAGTGGAGGGGAAAAGAACCGGGGGGTGGGGTTCAGTGTTGGTGGGGGGGGCGAAGGGCTGGAGCACCCCAGCGCGGGACAATCCGGCCCGGAGGCCTCTGGGATACAGGAAGTCAGGCGGGGATGGCGCCGTCTACACCTCTCCCTACAATTCCAAGTGGTTTGACCCGCATGGCTCCTTACCAGCCTTGACGTGTCCCACGGAGCTTCCCGTGCCAAGTGAATGTTAATCAATTTATAAAATGAAGGAATGGGGGTAGGCGCGCCTGGCTCTTTGGGTACTCCCGGGCCACGCTTGGCAGCGGGGAAATGGGGCGGCCCGAGACTGCAGTGAAAAGTGGGGAGGGGTACTGAGGCAGAGGGCGTGGCTCGCAGAGGGGGAGGAGGGACCAGCGGAGGAGGGGAGGGGGCTGAGAGCATCCGCCACCCCCACCCTGTTAGAGCTGGGAGCGCCCGGCTGTGGTTGGGGCGGGCATTGAGGTCTCCTTTTCATAGGGTTTTTGGGGAGGGGCCAGCCTCCCCTGGGCCACCTGGGGCCAGTTCGTTACTTACCCAAATCTTCCCAAAGGGAGGATCCCCTCTGGTGTGCCGAGGCTCCGAAGCTGGCCAGGTCGGGCTGCGTTATGGCACGAGCAGCGCCCGGATGGCTTCTGCCGATTCGACACATGTTACTAGGATGTCATTGTGGTTACTTTGTGATACAGTATGTAAACCCTTTTCCTGTAGTCTGTGGGGCACTTCGGACGGGACCACCAGCTTCCCCTTGGCAGTCTTATTTCCTAAGTAGAAGAGGACGGGATGCTCGGGGGGACCAGAACACTATAACAGTTTTTAACACACCCTGGAGGGGTCCCGCAGTTGGGCCTCCTTTCTGCTAGGACCCGGTCTTGGACCCAGGGACTGGAGCGCCTGCTTCTCTGCCCCCTCTTCTTAGAGAGAGAGAGAACTCGGACTCGGGGTTCATAGGTTTATTGAGGCTCTGACTGTTCTTACCCCTTCTGGGATCTCAAAGCCCCATCTGCCTCTTGGGTCTCTGTAGGAGGATGGGCAGAAATGAAGGAGTAAGAAAGGTGGGATCACCTTTATTTCCAAGCCTGCTTGGAACCCTCTCTGCTTCCTCCCTCCCGCTGTAGATTGGCGTTTCTGCTGTGAGGGCAGGGCCTGGGCCTTTGTAACTCTTGTGAGACCTCACCCTTTGTAAATCCCTGTAGGCCAGCCTCCTGTCAGGGCAGAGAAAGGAAAGACCTCTGCCCCTCTGGGATCCTTCAGCCTTCCCAACTCAACTTGGGCCGGAGGGAATGGCCCCTGGGAACTTCTGAGCTAGTTTCTGCTCATTTTGCTCTTCATTATTTCATGCAAGTCTTTCCATGTTTTTCTAAAATCATTGAGCTGATCATCAGTATTCAGTCACAATCATATACTGCAACTTGTTCAGCCATTCTCTGATCGACAGGCATCCCCATAATTTCAAGTTCTTTGCTACCACAAAGAGAGCTTTTGCCCTAATCATCTTTGGAAACAGATTTAATAGTGGTATTGCTGGGTCAAAGTGTATAGGTAATTTAATAACTCTTTGATCATAATTCCAGATTGCTCTCCAAAATGGTTGGATCGGTTCATAATTCCACCAATAATGGATTCCTGTCTCAACTTTTCCACATCCCCTCCAACATTTGCTGCTTTTCCCTTCATTTTAACCAATCTGATAGGTGTCAAATGGTATCTGAAGCTTGTTCTAATTTGCATTTCTTTAATCAATAATGATTTAGAGCATTTTTTCATATGACTATAAATTGTTTTGACATCTTCATTGGAAAGCTGACTGTTCATATCCTTTGACCATTTATCAATTGGGGAATGACTTGTATTCTCATAGGTTTTACATTGTTCTTTATGTATTTGAGATATGAGACCTTTATCTGAGATACTCTCCATAAATTTCCCGCCCCCAATTTTCTGCTTTCCTTCTGATCATGGCTACATTTGTTTTATTGTAAAAACCCTTTTTAATTTAATGTAATCAAAATTATGCATTTTACACCTCACTCTGCCATCTCTTGTTTATTCATAAATTGTTCACCTATCCCTAAATCTAATAAGCAGTATGTTCCATGTTCTTCAGATTTTCTTGTAATGTCTCTCTTTATATCTAGGTCATGTATCCATTTTGACCTTATCTTGGTAAATGGTGTTAGATGTTGGTCTATGCCCACTTTTCTACTTTACTGCTTTCCAGTTTTCCCAATATTTTTTAAAAGCAAGTAATAAATTCTTACCCCATCTTTACGCTTAAGCCTTACCCTTGTCAAGTACAAGGTTACTATATGTATTTGCTGCTCTAACTTGTGTATCTGTTTTGTTTTGTTGATCTTTACCAGATAATTTTGATAATTACTGCCTTATGATATAGTTTAAGATCTGGTACTGCTAAACCTCCTTCCTTTACATTTTAAAATAGTTCCTTTGACGTTCTTGACTTTTTGTTCTTCCAAATGAATTTTGTTATTTTTTTCTAATTCAGTAAAATAATTTTTGGTAATTTAATTGGGATGGCATTGAATATATAAATTATTTTAGGTGAAATTGTCATTTTTATTATATTGGCCCTGCCTACCCGTGAACAATTAATATTTCTCCAATTATTTACATATGGTTTTATTTGTATAAAAAATTTTTATAATTTTGTTTATATAGTCCCTGGGATTGTTTTGGCAAGTGTACTCCCAGGTATTTTATAATGTCTAGAGTTATTTTAAATGGGGTGTCTCTTAATATATCTTCTTGCAGGGTTTTGTTTGAGACATATAGGGATGCTGATGATTTATATGGATTTACTTTATATCCTGCTATTTTGCTAAAATTAATTATTGTTTTACCTAACTTTTTAGTTGAGTCTTTAGGATTTTCCAAGTATATCATCGTATTGTCTGCAAAAAGAGACAGTTCTATTAATTTGTTCCCTATTCTGATTCATTTTATTTCTTTTTCTTCTCTTATTGCTATTGCTAGGATTTCCAATACAATAACTGAATAATATTGGTGACAGTGGGCATTCTTGTTTCACACCTGATCTTACTGGGAAGGCTTCTGGCTTAGCCCCATTGTAGTAGTGCTTGCTGATGGTTTTAGAGAAATCTCTTTTTTTAATCAATTTAAGGAAAAATTCATTTATACCAATACTTTGAAGTGTTTTTAATAGAAAATAGTGTGGTACTTTATCAAAAGCTTTTTCTGCATCTATTGATACAATCATGTGATTTTGAAAAGATTTTTTATTACTGATATAATCAATTATGTTAATAGTTTTCCTTGTGTTAAACCATCCCTGCATTCCTGGTATAATCCCACTTGGTCATAATGTATAATCTTTGTAATATTTTGTTTACAATTTTTTCATTGATATTCAGTAATGAAATTTGTCTATAATTTTCTTTCTCTTGTTTTTACTCTTCCTGGTTTAGGTATCAGTATCATTTTTGTTTCATAAAGGGAGTTTGGTAGGATCCCTTCTTTGCCTGTTATTCCAAATAGTTAATTTAATATTTATTAAATTTATTAACTATATTAATAAAAGTAATTTATCAAAAATATTAATATTTTTGTAAATATTTTTCCATTTCACTTAAATTGTTAAATTTATTGGTACATAATTGGACCAAATAACTCCTTCTGATTGCTTTCATTTCATCTTCATTTGTGGTATAGTCACCCTCCATCTTTGACATTAGTGATTTGGTGTTCTCTATTTTTTAAATCAAATTAAGCAATGATTTATCTATTTCATTGTCTTTTTTAGAATTACTGTTTGTGAATTTCCCTCCATCTTATTTTTGCTGTCTGTTGTCCTTTTCGGCCTTTTTACCTTATCTCGGTTACCTTATCTTCTTCCCTTACCCTCCTCTTCCTTATTCTACCTGCCCCTCTAAGAGTCCCTCCCTTATCCTCTCCCCACCACCCTTCCCCTCCCCGACCCCCAGTTTTCCACCTCTTTAGAAGTTCAGAAGACTTCTGTACTCTTCCACATGTATAAGTTGTTTCCTCTTCAACCCAGATGAGAGTAAAATTCCAACATCACCAGCCGTCCACCCACTGGCTTCCTCTGTAACAGTTCTTCCTTTCATGCCTCATTTTTATGAGATAATTCTTCACCCAGTTTTGTTTTTGAGAATCACCCCATCATATACCACTCAGCTCCAATCTTTCTTTCAAACTTCCTCAGTAACGATGACAGTTTTAAGAATTCTGATAGCATTTTCATATGTAAGTAAACTTGGTGAAGTTTTGAAGTTATTCTCATCTTCTGAGTTTGTCTTGAGCCTCTCCGTCACCAAGGTCACCTTTGTGGCGGGGTTCTTTATTTTTTACTTCATCCTCCAGGCTCCCATCTGACCATGGATTTGATGTCAGCACCAAGCTCTCTCCTCATCCTGGAGGGAATGTCCACGATAATCTCGTTGCTGCTTTCTTGGGGTATTGAGTTTTCTGTTATTCCAGGATCTCAGGCAAAGCTGGTGTCAAGAGCCTGCAAGCTTTCAGCGCTGCCAAAATGCTTTGATTCCCTTTCCTTCTCCTCGTTATAGATCCAAAATTCCTAAACTGTGTTTAGGTCTGAGCAATGCGTCTGTGGGCTGGCTCTGTGCGGGGTCTTAGTAAATTACAGATGGACTCCGTCTCTATGAGCCAGCTGGTCAAAAGTAATAGAAATGCTGGGTCCCATTTTACTTGAGAGTCCTTCTACAGGCTTCAGACTGGGCTGGAAGCTGGACCTGAAACTCCACTCTGCTCCTGGGCTCAGAACCACGAAGTTGCTGCTTGTTGTGAATGTGTTCCTTGCTTAATGCCCAGCACCTGCCCTCACCCTGGAACTGCTATCTCTAGGGGCAAGTCCCCTCAGTCTGTCCTGGGTGTCCAACCAGAATTGGGCAGTGAGTGATAGGGCTGCCAGGCGCCTCCTGTTCCTGCAGACTGCACAAGCTGCCTCTGGGACTCCTTGTTGGCCTGCTGGACAGCCTCTCCCTGGTCTGGAATGCTCAGCAATGCCCTTCCTGACTAGACCCCTACCCCCACGTGCACAGACTGACCTGGTCTGGAACAAGGCCTCCCTGTGGTTTCTTGGATTTCCCACTCAGGATTCAGGCTGGGCCATGATGTTCTTCATCTGCTTTCAGGAGGTGTGGGGGTCTTGAGATCATGGTTCTCTTTCCTTCTCCTCCAGCTTCTTTCTTGGAGGTTTTTACAGGTGACTTATGGTCAGGTCCAGTCTCTCTTTTAAGTTCAGTGAAGTAGGAGGCAGAGGCTGGCAGTCTAAACCTGATTTCTGCTGAACCACTTTCCAATTTTCTCTGCTGTGCTCGGCACAAAGGGACCCTCCCCGGCCATTTCTGTCCCTGAACTTGTCCAGTCCTGGGCTCTGCACTGACCTGTCCTAGTCTTTTCCATCCAGTCTGTTCCCCTTTGTCTTTTATCACCCAAGGCAGGGAGAGATGAGCAGAACCTCGTGAACCACATACAGTGTGTGTGACACCAACCAGTGACTGCAGCAATGTCCATGGAAAGACTGAAGCACATAGACCTCAGAGGGACTGTCCCTGAGATCAGATGAGGAAAGGGGCCTCCTGGGGTAGAAGGTCATCTCCACCAGCCAGAGTGCCAGGGGCTGGACTGCTTGCCTCAGTTGTTTTCCTTTGTCACAAGAGAGGATCCAATCTGGAGGGAGAGAGAGAGTTGGTCTCCCCGCTGGTGTAAACAAAATGCACCAATAAAACCTGGAAAGGAGGGAAGAGGAGAAGGACTCAACTGATGCAGACATTTGTCTGCATCAGATAACTTAGAGTTGATGGTATTCCCCATATGTTTAATGGATGTGGGAGAGAGTTGAACCAGCCTTTAGTTTTGGCCCATCAGACAAATCTCAGTGGAGCGGAGCCTTGTAAAATGATCAAGGTGGGAAGGCTTTGGGGTTGAACCTCTTTCTGACACTGGAAAGTCCCCACTGTGGCCTTGCCTCATTTCTGGGACGTTGGTGGAAAACACAGCCTCTGGATCTTGGGAGAGCCTGGGAGCCGGCCTGCCTGTAAGAGGAGGCTTTCAGTGTGGCAGAAGTCTTTGTGGACATTTCTCTTTGAGTCATATTTAGAACCCGTGGGAAAACAGGATTGTATTGGTTGAACCTCACCTTGTTTGGCTTAGAGCCTGGGTCTGTTTGATGCTTTAACACCAGATCTGCGGCTCAGTCAGGACATGCAGGTCCCCCTGACCCCAGACACCTTCAGGGGAGGGAGCAGTCCAGAGGGGGAGGCCAGAAATTTTCTGAGATCTACCCTTTCAGCACCCTGTAAGTATGGTATTTGGAAACTGCCTCCCAGCTGGCCCCTCCACTTGTTTCCTTGTTCCTGGGTCTGAACTCTATGGAATGTAAAGCTTACTAAAAGCTCTGGGAGTGGCCCCTATTTTGGCCCTCACCTCACCCAAGGATGCAACAAGCTTCTTTCTGAAAGCTGTTACCTCAAAAGTAGATATGGAAATATGTGTGTCAGCATGCATGTATTTGTGTGTGTGTGTGTGTGTGTGTGTGTGTTGTATATTTAGTGGTTTGCAAATTGTCTCCTGTTTTGTTTTGGTTTTTTCCATTCTCAGGGGCTCCAGAGCCCAGTATTTTGTGCCTTAGTAGGTGCTTAATAAATGCTTGTTGACTTGTTGACTTAAACCATTGGAATGTGAGCTCCTGCTTAACCTTTGTATCCTTACCACTTAGCCTACTGGCTGACACATAGTAGGTGCTTAATAAATGTTTATTGATTGGTTGATAAATGCTTGTTGAATTAACTGATTTGAGCCCCCAGTTGCAGAGGATTGGAGGCATTCTCTTCTTTTCTGTGCCCTGAGACCTGATGACATCAGCTCTACTCAAGGAAGGAGGGAGGCCCATTGGGAATCAGGGCTGGGGTCTGTTGAGACTAAGCTGGCTCGAAGGTGTCACTTTGATACATATTATTCCAGCGTGATTTTATCATTTTCATAATCAGTGGTCAGACAGTCCATGAGATAAAATCCCTTCTATATTAACAATAACAACAGCTATAACATGTAACCAGACTTGTAAAGCCTTCTTCCCCTGCAGCTGAGATCTGTGCCTCCTGGAAGCCAGTTCTGTGGGTGCAGGTCCCAAGTGGGGCTGAGCCAGGCCATTGTATGGATCTGGCTTCTACTTACATGCCTTCCCACTGGGTCTCTTCCCCCACCCCCACCCCAACTTCAGCTATGAAAGATCTCAGTTACTCAGTAAGCCACACTGTCCCTTCAGAATTGGGACACCCTTCTTTCAGGAGCTTCTTCTCCAGGACTGATAAGATTTGATGACCTTGCCCAAAGAGAAGGTCCCAAGGCCCTTACTTGGTAAGATCCCCCAAAACTTTACAGATAAGGAGAATTTACAGGGGTCCTTTTTACTTTTCTCAGAGTAAATTTTTATTCTTATTCATGTTAAAGTAAAAGATGCCCAATTAAATACTTAACCAGTGTTTACACATTGTAACCACCCTCTCACAGCTTAATTCATAATTTCTCAGCATCCAGATCAACAGAGGAGTTAATTTTCTAAGGATATAATTGCACCACCCTCTAGGAATCGTTTTTCAAATTAGCATTTTTATACTATGGTTTCCCCAAAGTCCTGAGATGAGAAAAATTAGAAGTATAATCATAACATAAACAAGGTTACAGATTTAAAATATGAAAGAAAATTGCCAGTGAAATGACATCAAAGCATTTGTTAATTATCTTCCTTAGAAAAATCACTTCCTCTTTTTGTCCATTTGACACTCAAGACTGCTTGCATTCAGAGAGTAGAACAGAGTAATTCTGATCCAGTCACACTTAATTCTTATTCTCACAGCTCCTAAACATATCACCTTAATGCCAAATTCTAAATGTATTTTGCATTAAGGTCTGATCTACCTGTAGAGGGTCAAACATCCCTCTCATCACTTTGGGAGAACACAGCTGACTTTAAATGAGCCCACATTCAAATTGAGATTAGGACAAACTCAGTCCAATCAAGCCTGGATTTATAGTTGCAGCCCGCATATAGAATCCCAGTTTTCCTAAGGGCCATTTGCTACCAGCACCTGAAAGTATAGGGCCAGCTACTTTTTTTTTTCCATGAAGAGCATTATGTATTTTTTTTCTTTTTCAAAACAATTTTTGAAATACTTTTATTTTCCCCCAGGCACATGGAAAGAAAATTAAACATTCATTTAAAAATTTGTCAAGTTAAAAAATCTTTTCTCTCCCTCCCTTACCCTCTCCCAGAAACAATAAGCAAATTGATGCAGGTTAAATATGTTCAATTTTAAGCATTTTTTTTCAATTTTAAAAAATATTTTTATTGAAGGTTTTGAGTCCCAAATTCTATCCCTCCCTCCCTTACCCTTTCCCTGTGATTGTAAGCAATCACATATAGGTTATACACGTGCAATCATGTAAAACATTTCCGTGTTAATCATTTTGTACAGGAAGGCTCAAATAAAAGAAAAAAGAAAGAAAGTGAAACATAGCTTGCTTCAGTCTGTATTCAGTCAATATCAGTTCTTTCTCTGCAGGCAGATAGAATGCTTCATCATTACTCCTTTGGGATTGTCTTAGATCATTGTATCACTGAGAAGAGCTAAGTCATTCACAGTTGATCATTGTTACAATGTTGCTGTTACTGTGTACAACATTCTCCTGGTTCTACTCACTTCACTCAGCATCAGTTCATGTAAGTCTTTCCAGGTTTGTCTGAAATCATTCTGCTTGTCTTTCTATAGCATAATAATATTCCATTACAATCGTATACCGCAGCTTGTTCAGCCATTCCCTAGTTGATGAACAGCCCTTTGATTTCCAATTCTTTGCCACCACAAAAAGAGCTGCTATAAATATTTTTGTACAAATAGGTCCTTTCCTTTTTTTCTTTATCTCTTTGGGATACAAACCTCTTCTGTGATACAGATCTCTTTTGGGATACAGTGGTATTATTAGATCAAAAGGTACACACATTTTTATAGCCCCTTGGGCATAGTTCCAAATTGCTCCCTAGAATGGTTGGATCAGTTCACAACTCCACCAACAGTGCAGTAGTAGGACTCACCACTTTCAATTAGACTGCTACCCATGTTTTATCCAGACAGTCTTTCTGCTCAGAAGGAGGAAGGGTGAGTCCCAGAGCAAAGGGAGAGAGAACCAGTGCTCTATCCACTGTGCCATCTAGTTGCCCCATAGAATTTTCTTAAGACAATCACTCATAACCCTTCTGATGATGAGTATTTCATACCACCTTCTCTCTTTCTCCTCCCCAGATTCTTATACTTCACGGATGGAGCACATACCTTTTCCCTGATTCCATAGGAGAAGCATTTCATAGTAAGACATTTCTCCAAGTTTAATTATTCCAACATGATTCTCACTTCAAATATCAAATGGTTTTCTCAACATTCCATTGGGTTCTGAATGACTGGTTTCAAATGTTGGCCCTGATACTCTTTATGGTTATGAGTTTAAGGTTAAGGTTATGAATGTTGGTGACATTCAAGGATGTGACTGTGGACTTCATCCCAGAGGAGTGGGGCCTCTTGGACCATTCTCAGAAAGATCTGTATGAGGAGGTCATGCTGGAGAGTGCCCAGAACCTGTTTGCTCTGGGTAAGGACCATTTCCTCTGGCAACTGAATCTGCCATCAAAGCAATGTCTTCATTCCCTCCTTAGCGTGCAGGATTTAAGCGTTTATCAATTATTCAAAAGACAATAATAGTGCTGGTCTCTCCACAGGGTCCTCCTGCTCCCTGATTTTTCTATAAAATGTCATAGAAGTTTATGATGGGAAGCTGGGACTTTCCTTTGTTGCTTCTAACACTGTCTCTTTGCTATTTTACATAGCTTCAGGTTAAAAAAAAATTAAACTATTGTTGTAGAATCACAGACTTGGACCTAATCTTAGACATTCTATCTAGTCTAACTTTTAACTGGTCATGAATTTTGTCAGCAAAATCTCTAAAAATTGCCCATGCAGCCTTTCCTTGAAGTTAGGAAGGGAAGGGAACTTCTGCCTGCAAAGGCAACCTCTTCCTGTTTGGGATAGGTAGACTTTAGAATGGTCTTTTTTTTAAATTTAGTATTTTATCTTTCCCCAATTACATGTAAAAACAATTTTCAACATTCATTTTAAAAACTGAGTTCAAAATTCTATCCCTCCTTCCATACCCCCCTCATTGAGAAGGCAAGTAGCCCAGGTTATACATGTGTAGTCATGCAAAACATATTTTGGTATTAGTCATGTTGTTAAAGAAAACACAGACCAAAATAAAACCCTGAGAACAATAAAGAAAGTTTAAAAGTATGCTTCAGTTTGTATTCAGACTCCATCAGTTCTCTCTCTGGGGACGGACAGCATTTTTTTTCATCATAAGTCCTTCATAGTGTCTTGGATCACTATATTGCTAAGAATAGGTAAGTCATTCACAGTTGATCATAACACAGTGTTGCTGTTACTGTGTACAGTATTTCCCTGCTTCTACTCATTTCACTTTGTATCAGTTCATGTAAGTCTTTTCCAGGTTTTTCTGAGAGCATCTAGCTCATCATTTCTTATAGCACAATAGTATTCCATCACAGATATATGCCACAAATTGTTCAGCCATTCCCCAATTGATGGGCATCCCCTCAATTTCCAATTCTTTGCCACAAGAAAAGAGCTGTGATAAATATTTGGGCATAGTTCCAAATTGCTCTACATAATGGTTGAATCAGTTCACAACTCCACCAACAGTGCATTCGTGTTTCAGTTTTCCTACATCCCATCCAGCATTTGTCATTTTCCTTTTCTGTTCTATTAGCCAATCTTAGGTGTGAGGTAGTACCTAAGAATTGTTTTAATGTGCATTTCTCCAATCAATAGTCATTTAGAGGATTTTTTCATATGGCTAGAGATATTTTTGATTACTTTATCTGATAACTGACTTCATATTTTTTGATCATTTGTCAATTGGGGAATGGCTCTTATTCTTATAAATTTCTCATTTCTCTATACATTTGAGAGATGAGACCTTTATCAGAGAAACTTGTTTCGCATTTTTTTTCACTGTTATGATTGCTAACTGTATTTCCTTCATCCTATCCCTCCCCCCATTTATTGTATTCTCTCTCCTTTCACCCTGTCCCTTCTCAAAAGTATTTTGCTTCTGACTACCCCTCCCCAAATCCTCCCTTCCTTCTATGAGCACCACTCTTTTCTTTTATCTCTTTACCTGCCTACTTTACTATAGGGTAAGATAGATTTCTACACCCAATTAAGTGTGTATGTTATTCCATCTTTGAGCCAATTCTGATGAGAGTAAGGTTCAAGTATTCCCTACCTCCTCCCTCATTTCCCCCTCCACTGTAAAATCTCTTTCTTGCCTTTTTTTGGTGAGATTATTTACCCCATTCTACCTCTCTCTTTCCCTTTCTCCCAGTGCATTCCTCTTTCTCAGCCCTTAATTTTACATTTTTCAGATAGCATCCCATCATATTCAACTCACACCTGTGCCCTCTATCTAGATGTAATCCTTTTAACTGCCCTAATAATGAGAAAGTTCTTATGAGTTACAAGTATCATCTTCCCATGTAGGAATGTAAACAGTTTAACTGTATTAAGTCCCTTTTGATTTTCCTTTCCTGTTTACCTTGTCATGCTTCTCTTGAGTCTTGTATTTGAAAGTAAGATTTTCTATTCAGCTCTGTTCTTTCCATCAGGAGTGCTTGAAAGCCTTGCATTTCACTGAATGGGCATTTTTCCCCTGAAGGATTATAGTCACTTTTGCTGGGTAGGTGATTCTTGGTTGTAACCTAGCTCCTTTGTTCTCTGCTAAATCTTGTGTTATCCTGTGGCTCCATGATACTTGTATTATTTCTTTCTGGCTGCTTGCAATATTTTATCCTTGACCTGAGAGCTCTGGAATTTGGCTATAATATTCCTGGGAATTTCCGTTTTGGGATCTCTTTCAGGAGGTGATTGGTGGATTCTTTCAATTTCTGTTTTCCCTTCTGGTTTTAGAATATCAGGGTAGCTTTCCTTAATAAATTCTTGAAAGATGATTTCTAGGCTTTTTTTTTGATCATGGCTTTCAGAAAGCTTAATAATTTTTAAATGACCTCTCCTGGAGCTATTTTCCAGGTCAGTTGTTTTTCTAATGAGATATTTCACATTGTCTTCTATTTTGCATTCTTTTAGTTTTGTTTGTTTCTTCATGTTTCATAGAGTCATTAGCTTCCACTTGCTGAATTCTAATTTTTAAGGAATTAATTTCTTCAGTGAGGTTTTGTACTTCCTTTTCCATTTGGCCAATTCTATTTTTTAAGGAGTTCTTTTGCTCAGTGAATTTTTGTGCCTCTTTTTTCTATTTGCCAGTTTTACTGTTCAAGGCCTTCTTCTCACTGGATTTTTTTTTTTACCTCTTTTACCAAGCTATTGACTCTTTTTTCATGATTTTCTTGCATAACTTTCATTTCTCGTCCCGATTTTTCCTGTACCTCTCTTAGTTGATCGTTCAAATCATTTTTGAGCTCTTCCATAGACTGAGACCAATTCACATTTTTCTTTGAGGCTTTGGATATAGGAGTTTTGAGTTTGCTATCCTCTCAGTGCTTGTTTTGATCTTCCTTGTCACCATAGTAACTTTTTTATAATCAGAATTTTTTCCTGTTGTTTGCTCATTTTTTTCAGCCCATTTCTTGACTTTCAACTCTTTGCAGAAGTGGGGCTCTGCTTCCAAGGTGGAGGGTGCACTGTTTTCAGAGATACTTCTGGGGACCTGCAAGGTGTTATAATCTAAGGAGAGGTGTGTTTGCTACTCTCCTTACCTGTGCTGTGCTCTGTGAGTGAGCACAAGCACTCTTTTCTGCTCTGGAACTGTGAGGAGGGTCCCCACTCCACTGAGGCCACAAGCTGTGGTGTGCTAGTGCTCCTCCTTGCCCTGGGACTGCAACCCAAAACTGCAACCTGGATCCAACTATGGGCAGACAACAAAGTCTTATACCCAGTGCCAGCAAAGAGACCCTTGTAATCTCCTACTTACCAGATGTTTGACTCCTCTGACATCTATGGGCTGAGAGCTCTGGAAGCAGCTGCTGCTGCTGTTGACTCAGTGGCTCCCAAGGCCTGCTCCTGATTTGCTCGGGCTGGGTCTGTGCTGGTGCAGCCTGCGCTGAACTGTGCTCCACTGTCACCCAGGTGTAACAGACCTTTCCTGCTGACCTTCTAAGTTTTCTTGGGCTGGAAAATTGCTTCACCTTGTCCTTTTGTTGGTTCTGCTACTCCAAAATTTATTTTAGGGTATTATTTAAAGGTCTTTGGAAAGGTTTGGGAGAGAGCTCAGGTGAGTCCCTGACTTTTCTCCACCATCTTAGCTCTGTCCCTCTAGAATGACCTTAAGAAGCATAAATTGGTAGCTCACTGCTCCTAAACCTGCCTGGTATAGCAAGTTTATCCTTATTCTTCCTTCATTGTTCCAAATTCCGGCACAAAAGAAGGGAAAGGAATAAGCATTTATATACACCTCCTATGTGTCAGGCACTGTGCTCAGTAATTTATGAATATTTTCTCATTTGATCCTCACAATATCTCTGTGAGTGTGGTAGTATCATTATCCCTATATTATGGCTGAGGAAACTGAGGCAAACATAAGTGAAGTAATTTGCCTAGGGAAATATAGCTACTAAGTGTCTAAGGCTGGATTTGAAATCAAGTTTTCTTGACTCCAGTCCCAAGGCTCTTACCACTGCACTACTGGCTGCCTCTAGTTTCTAAATCGTGGAAGCTCTGGAATGTGCCCATCCTTCACATGGAATTTTCTGATTCCAAATTGGCTGCATGACTCCATGATCACCCCTCCAAAGATCTCAACAAAAAATATCATGTAAACCATCCCTGAAGAATAATGGGAACCATCCTGTGGTCCTTGCTTGCATGTCCCCTTCCCCTAAAGAGGACCAAATTATGAATTTCTCTCCATCATCATCCTAGGGCTTCCAGTTGCCATGGAAGACCTGACCTGTTTCAGGAAGGGGAAGCACTATGCATTGTGGGGGGAGGGGTGAAGGCCCAAGGAACTATTATCCAGGTGAGAGAGACGAAAGCAAATGTATGAGGCTATCATGGTATAATTATGTGTTGTAGTGAAGGAAATGTTAGGCTTGGGGATGGGAAGACCTGACCTGGAATTCCTTTTTAGATACTCTTTTTAGCAATGTGATCCTGAGACAAGTCACTGAACCTACAAGCCTCAGTTTCCCTATATGTAAAGTGAGGTGATTGGACTCCATGGCTTTCAGTTTCCTTCCAGTGATAAGCTACGATCTTATAAGAAGTCATTGTTTGAAACATAGAACTTGGGACATAGAACTCGCCTGAAATCATTCAAAAAGGGCCAAGGGTTTCCAATAGGAACACTTTACTAGATTTTCTTTAAGTCAGAAAGTGTTTATTAAGCACCTACTACATTCCAGACCATGTGCTGAGCACCAGGGATGTAAAGAAAGGCAGAGGACGAGCCCTGCTCTCAAGGAATTCATAGTCTAGTGGGGAAGACAACATGCAAACAACTATGTAGATACCCACTACGTCCAGGATAAATTAGAGCTAATCAAGAGAGAGAAGGCACCAAGG